TCGGTCGGATCGTGAAGACGTACGACTACATCAACCGCGTTGTGCTAACGCTTCCGTTTACGGTCTACGAGGGTACATGGACGAACACTCTCCCCTCTCGTTGCTATATCATCACCATGATCTTGCGTGTGCGTAGGAATTTTTTTGAAATTACTGCGTTACCCATCAATCGCGGACATGACGAGGTGTCTCGAAATGGTCGAGACATAAAGATTGATATATTGGAAGGCTATGTTTGGACACCGGAAAGGTTCCAAGTGGTTCAGGCTTTTTTCGGAGTACCGGGAGGTTACCGGAACCCCCCGGAGAGTTAATGGGCCTTAATGAGCCATGGTGGAAGAGAGGAGGAGTCGACCAGGGTGGGGGCGCCCCTCCCAAGCCCAATCCGAATTGGGAGGGGGGTCGCCCCCCCCCCCTCTCCTTCTCTCCCTCCCCCTCTTCCTTCTTCTCCTACTCCAACTAGGGAGGGGGGAAACCTACTCCTACTGGGAGTAGGACTCCCCCCTTGGGCGCGCCATAGAGAGGGCCGACCCTTCCCTCCTCCACTCCTTTATATACGGGGGAGGGGGGCACCCCATAGACACACTAGTTGATTGTTTAGCCGTGTGCGGTGCCCCCCTCCATAGATTCCCACCTCGGTCATATCGTTGTAGTGCTTAGGCGAAGCCCTGCGTCAATAACTTCATCATCACCATCACCACTCCGCCTGCTGATGGAACTCTCCCTCGGTCTCAGCTGGATATAGAGTTCGAGGGACGTCATCGAACTGAACATGTGTAGATCGCGGAGGTGCCATGTGTTTGGTACTTGATCGGTTGGATCGCGAAGACGTTCGACTACATCAACCGCGTTACATAACGCTTCCGCTTTCGGTCTACGAGAGCATGTGGACACACTCTTACCTTCGTTACTATGAATCACCTAGATAGATCTTGCGTGATCGTAGGATTTTTTTTGAAATTACTGCGTTCCCCAACAATAAGTCTTGGGATAACTTAGAGTCCAAGATTATAAGCAGAAACAACAACCTAGCTTTTCTAACAGAAGGGCCTCTTGCATCTTGCTCAAGGTAAAGTTTTGTACCTTTAAGGGGAGTTTCAACTAGCCCATGAGCACTAAGAGCCTCATTGAATTGAAGCATATCTTGAAATTTACCTCCGGCTAGGTTCTTATTACCAAGATATGTAATATAATGAAAATCGCTTAGAACAAGTCAATCAGTATCATCTGTCATTTGAATGATTGAGACTAGTTGAGAAAATCTTGTTTAGTAGAAGGAAGACAATTACCATAAATTTTGGTAAGGTACCAAGAACTTCCAGTATGAACAAAGGTGAAATTGATTGAAATTGAGTAGCTGATGTTAAAAACCTTCTCCCCATGAAATAGGTTCTCATTCCAAGCAACGGTCCTCCAGAGGTAGCATCGAAAGAGGCCATTCCACACAATGTCTACCGAGTCCCGCTTGAGGTCCTCTTTGATTCACATAATTCTAAAAACGCGGGAATAGAAAAAATAAGATTGGAATGTCATGCTCATCTCAATCCTACATGATTTTGGATTGTTTGATTACATCATAGAAAAAACAAAGGATTCTTTCGAAGAGATTTGAGTGAATGCTAGCGATTCTATGAAAAGTAGCAATAAATTCCTTATGAAAAATTACTATAGGATTCATGTCTATGAATCAAACAACCACCATAAGAAAAATTCCTAAGAATTCTAGGGCCTCTTTGATTCGCGGTATTCTAAAAACACGGGAATGGGAAAACATAGTATTAGAATGTCATGCTCATATCAATCCTACATGGTTTTGGTTTGTTCGATTGCATCATAGGAGAAACAAAGGATTTTTTTTCAAAGAGGTGTGAGTGGATGCTAGAAATCCTATAGTAAGTAGTACAATGAAATCCTTATGAAGAAATCCTATCGGATTCAATTCTATTAATCAAACAAACAACATAGGAAAATTCCTAAGGATCTAATCCTTCAAGGCCTCCTTTGGTTTGGAGGACCTTTATAGGAATTCCAAAGAATATGATTTATATAGGAAAAATTCTTTTAGAACCCTTTGGTTTGTAAAGATAAGATTTCTATAGGAAAAATTCCTTTAGGGCATCTCCAAAGCTGACCTGCAAATGGCTCCGGTATATGTTCGTTTTTTATATCTGAACGTGGTCCTTGAATGTGATACTGAGAGAGAGCCATCCAACCCTTTTCACAAGTTAATCCTTATTTGTCTGGTTGGGTGGAGAAAGAGGAGAGGCGGCCATGCATGCGCAGTGAGAGTAAAGAGGAGGACCATGTGGTGACTACTTTTTGGTAAGTGGATGTCCGGGCACTAATGTAGCTCCCCCACGTTTGTCTTCGGTTTGCCAAAAAACGGACGTCCGGACCACTTCACGAACCGTTTGGGTCCTCATTGGATGAAAAAAGTTGACAGAAACGGTCCGGACGCTACAACCCGGACATATAGCGGAGCTTTGAGGGTCTCCTCTCGAGATGCCCTTAGAGCACTTTGGTTCGTAGGAATAAAATCATATCCCTACGGAAGGAATTTCTACTATTCTTCACATTTATAGAAAATAAATATTAACCTCGACTCAATGAAGAGAATCATATGATGTGAATGAAATGACATCATCTTTTTCTATTCCTATTCATAAAATTTGAGATACATGTCATCTCATTTTCCATGACTTTTTTGTTCCTATAAAAATCCAAATTCCTATACAAATCCTCTAAATCAAAGGAGCCTCTAGTCCTAGAAAAATCCTTTAATAGCCCTGAACGAAACATTTTGGCTGGATATTCAGAAGGCGGATAAGATAGGAAACACTTTGCCGATTGTGAGATTCGGAAAGCATGACGTGGAGAAAAAAAAATAGCTGATGATAAGAGCAACTCCAACGGGCCGACCCAAATGGACGGCGATTTCGTCCGCTTTTTGTCTGTTTGGGTCGGCCGCCCGTCCGGTGTCCGTCCTATTTTTTATATGGGTCGGCAACGCGCCCAACGCACTGACCCATATATGCAGGCGTGGCCGGCCGGCCGCCCAATTTTGCATTGCATTCAACATATTGTGAAATGAAAATATAGTCCGCCCAAATAAATAGTATAGTGGGCCAAATAAAAAAAATGTTTCAAGTAGTCCTTCCAGAGAAGGAAATGCCCGCTCTCTCGGTTACGATTCAACGCCGGAAGGTGGCCCGGAATTGAGCCACGGAACAACGGTCGCTGGTTGTTGAGGTGGTGATGGACCAACACGGCAGCCAATATCTCCTCCTCGTCATCGGACGACGAATTGTCGGAGTCGCAAATGAAATTGTGGAAAAAGAACTCGTCGGCGGAGTCCATTTTCGTACCTTGGCAAACTGTCGAACAGCTTGCGGGCGTCGAAGAAGGAGACTGCCGGCGAGGGAACACGCGGCGCGCACAGACCAGCTAGCTGCCCGGCCGGTGTCCGACGAGCGTGCCGGTCGTATGTGGCAGGGGCGGCGAGGCGTCTTCTTATTCTTGGGCGGCTGTGCGGTGGGGGAAGCGGCGGCGGAAACCAGTTTGCTCCCCGGCGGCGGCGCGCGACTAGGGACAGGGGCGGCGTTGCTAGGCGGATGTGGAGCGGCAACTGGAGGAAGAGTCGCCGCAAAAATGGGCGGCGGCGTCGGTGACGGAGGAGGCGGGGGGCGTGAGTTGCTTGTTGACGGGGAGGGGAGGAGGGAGGCCAATGTGCCACAGACCAGCGGGCCCAGGGACAGGAGTAGGCGACCGCGCGCGCGTCCGTCGCGTGTCCCCGACGATGCAAATCAGGCTCAAAAATGGGCCGAGAATGGGTCGTCCTCGAACGAAAAACGGACGCGCGTCCGTTTGGGTCAGCGTGTTGGGCCGTCTTTTCTGTCCGCGCCGACTCAGACGGACGTTCGCGGACAAAATGGATCGCCCCATTAGAGTTGTTCCAAGAAAGAAAACACTCCTCCTGTTACGGTGAGATGCACTCACCTAACCATACAGAAATAGCAGCCCCTGAATACTGTGAAATAAAGATATAACTTTCTGTTTCGACGGTACCTAAATAATTTGCTCCACACACACACTCCTTTGAGAAAAAGGCGTCGCACAAGGATTCAAGATCCACAATTCCAGGCCTGTAGCACTGTTGCCGCCACCACAGCACGGCACGGCACGGCTGAACCCACCACGGCATGGCATGGAGCAAGATCACCACCATTCATTATTAGTAATCCCCTGCATAGGGCGCGGAATGGGAATGGGATTAGTGAGCAGTGGCAGAAGGTACAGCGGAGGGGATTTCTCGAGCCCGGTGCATCAGAAGTCACACGAGAGATATAGAGAGAGCGAGGCCAACGGAAAAGACAGCGGCCCCGGCGCCCCGTGTGGGCCGGCTCCTGTTTGTTTTTAGAGAGAGAGAGAGAGAGGGAGAGTAGTGTGGGAGTACAGTGTGATTGCGGGCATGGAATGGGTGGATGGCCGCACACTTGCGCCTGCCTCCCTCATCCATCCGCATCTCTCTCTCTCCCCCTAGCAATCAACCCTAGTCTTAGCTTGGCTGACTCCTCCTACCTGGTTGGCATAGCTTATTAGCTCCTTCCTTCAGCCCCACTCTACCAGCTCCCAGCGCAGCGCTGCTCGTCGGCCGGTTGCTCCGATAGCTCAGTCGATCGGCTACCTCGGTTCTTGCTCACAGTAGCCGCCTCCATGGTTCCACATCAGCGAGCCTAGCAAGTTGCTGTGGTGCTACTACTAGTCCCAGCATCAGGATTCAGGGAGAGAGGCGTCCCCACCGCGGCTGGGCGTGGGTAGTGCAACTGCTGCAAATCTGCAAGTACCACCACCGCATGCAGCAGCTGCCGTCAGGTCAGGCTCACATGATCAGATCGCCCGCCCGCGAGATCTGATCCGTGTGCGTATGTCCTGCTGATCAGGAATTCGGCAGCAGCTAGCTAGCTGGTTGATCGATCGAGGGGAGAGAAGAGAGGATCGAGATGATGCTCAAGGATTTCGCGGCAATTCAGCAGCAGCAGCAGCAGCAGCTGGCCCTCGCCGCCGACGAGAACATGTCGAACCTCACCTCCGCCTCCGGCGACCAGACCAGCGTCTCCTCCCACCCCCTCCCGCCTCCTTCCAAGAAGAAGCGCAGCCTCCCGGGAAATCCAGGTGAATTCTCCTTCTGATCGACTATATGCTGTTCTTGGTTATTTGATTCTTGATTTAGAGGATTTCATCCATCGATCAATTCGTTTTGCGGTATAGACCCTGACGCGGAGGTGATCGCGCTGTCGCCGCGTGCGCTCATGGCGACGAACCGGTACGTGTGCGAGATCTGCGGCAAGGGGTTCCAGCGGGACCAGAACCTGCAGCTGCACCGGCGCGGCCACAACCTCCCCTGGAAGCTCAAGCAGCGGAACCCCAACGAGGTGGTGCGCAAGAAGGTGTACGTGTGCCCGGAGCCCGGGTGCGTCCACCACGACCGCTCCCGCGCGCTCGGCGACCTCACCGGCATCAAGAAGCACTTCAGCCGCAAGCACGGCGAGAAGAAGTGGAAGTGCGACAAGTGCGCCAAGCGCTACGCCGTGCAGTCCGACTGGAAGGCCCACTCTAAGGTCTGCGGCACCCGCGAGTACCGATGCGACTGCGGCACGCTCTTCTCAAGGCACGTCTCTCTCTCTCCTCCGGCCTCACTCTTCTTCTCCTCCGTCTTCCGCGCTCATGCCACTGCGGCACTGCCATGGCCATGCATGACACGCTGACGATGTGTGCGTGTGCGTGCATGCGTTGATTAATTGCAGGCGGGACAGCTTCATCACGCACAGGGCGTTCTGCGACGCGCTGGCGGAGGAGAGCGCGAGGGCGGTGGCCGTGGCCGTGGAGGAGCACCAGCATCCGGGGATGCTCTACTCGCACGGTGGCGGCGGCGCGGGGTTTCAGATGCCGGCCGTGATGGACCCGTCGAGCTCGCTCGGTGGCGGCCACGGGCTGATCCAAGAATTGTGCCTCAAGAGGGAGCGGGAGCAGCAACAGCAGCAGCAGCAGTTCGCGCAGCCGTGGCTATCGGAGCAGCAGCAGCAGCAGCTGGAGATGGCCGGCGAGGGCGCCCAGGCCATGTTTGGGACGGCCAGGATGGAACAGGAGTTCAACGCGAGCTCCACGCCGGAGAGCAGCACGCAGCCTGTGGGCATGAGCTTTGCGTCATTTCCCTCGTCGTCTGCGGCCCCGTCAGCGGCCGGGGCGACGGCCTCATCCCACATGTCGGCCACCGCGCTGCTCCAGAAGGCGGCGCAGATGGGTGCAACGCTGAGCCGGCCGTCAGGCCAAGGCCAGATGGCAGCGAGCACCTTCAGCAGTAGCAGCAGCGCCGCCATCACCAACGTCACCAACAATGCACCTGCTGCCGCTACTAGTAGCAGCGCGGCGACAAGCACCGTCGGCGTGGGATTCGGGCACGCGTTCGAGGCGCCGGCTCACTTCGGAGTGGACCAGAGGCCCAGTGCCAATCGTAATGCCGGCAATGCCGGCGTCGGCGGCGCAGGTAGAGGCAATGCCGGAGGCGCAAACGACGGCCTCACGAGGGATTTCCTGGGTCTGCGGGCCTTCTCCCACGGCGACATACTCAGCATGGGAGGCTTCGATCCCTGCATGCCCACGTCGGCCTCGGCGAGGGCGGCGTACGATCAGCAAGGGCCGCAGAGCAGCAACCCATGGCATGGCTAGTAATCAACCTCGCAATTAGCTGGCTAAGCTCACCATTGATGAACCGAACCATATCCAAGTTTGATGATTTGCTGCGGCATGCAATGGACTAAAAACATCATCAAGCGTCCGGCATTGCTCGATCATATACTACTTCAAGGTTAATCATACCGATCAGTAAGTTGGATTCAGCCTTCCGGCCGATAAAGCAAAATCAAGTTCTTTCATTTTGCTTGCCACTCATTTTATCTTCTTTTGGGGAGGAATGAGCTCTTCAATTCACTTGCTATATATATAAATAAATTCTTGTTCATGCTATATATCATAATTAATCCATGCATGTCTCTGTTGTAATAATAAAGATGATTTAGCCGTTCTTTACATACATATGTTACTACCAGTGCTCATGTCGTTTATTTGGGTAGATAAGCAGTTTATGAGATGAATTAACGTTTACCACTGTTCTGTTTACTAGCGAATGATTCTGAATGCTGATATACTGTTGTACGACGTCAGACTTACAGTTAGACTATTCAAGAGTAATCCTATTTCAAACACCATGTGTACTGTTAATGCATGTCATAAAAAAATACTACATTTGGGAGCATTTGTCAACCAAGTACTCTAAAAATGAACTCACATCTGCATATTACAGTTAAAGAAAACACTCCCGTTGAATGTGTAAAATGCGCACTCCATGGTGCCCTGTTGCCATTTTTTTAGAGTTCATCAGAGCATCTAAACTTTTTTGTTAGCATGTCTTGTTTAATTTAAGATTGTAAGACACATGTTTGCATATTCGATTGGAAGCAGAGCTGAAAATATAGGTTGCTCCCCAGTCCCCATATCAACATTTAATCTCAAATATTGCCTACTCGACTACATTAATTGATAAATATACAAGAGTCAAGGCATCCTAAACTATGCATCTTTTTTATTTTATATAGGAGCATGCTCACCTTATATAGCAGTATTAAATATAATTCGTATTTTTAATAAATCCCCTAATTAAGGAGCCACTGGATTCTCCAAAACACTCACACTACTGTAGTACTACCTCCGTCCTGGTTTATTGGTTCCCTTGGTATTGTATGCAATTATAAATTTAACTAATAAAATATTAATGCATGTCATAAAAAATATATCATTGGATTCGTATTTGAACATAGTTTCCAATGATACTATTTTTCTCGACATGCATTAACATTTTGTTAATTAAATTCATGATCAAAATTTAGCGCAAAATAGTAAGAGACCAATAAATCAGGACGGAGGTAGTACCAACAAGAAGATAACACATGACAATAGTTTTGTTTCCTCGGTAATATATTGTGACATGATGTATGGGTTCAAGCATAGAATGTAAAAAATTATTGTTTTTAGTTCCTTGCAAATCCTTTGTCAAGGAGCTAGGAATGGGCATATGTGTTGATTAATAAGTTGTGGCAGCTTGCTAGCTAGCTTACACACTTTTTTCTCAGTAAAGAATGCAAAGATATTCCATAGAATGTACCAGTGGTGCTTTGCCGGCCGATGGCAAAAGTTAAAAATTTATGGTGAAGAGACCTTCCATGGCAGCAAAATCGATGCTACAACCGCACACAAAACCAGCGAATCCTTGTAGGAGTGGTACACGCAGGCTTTTGTTTTTGTTTTGTGTTGTTTGTCTGCATTGATTGATGGATGTGAGATATGATCGTCTGGTTCATCTGTCTTCACACACATACACGCATGTACTCCCTCCGGTCGGAAATATTTGTCGGAGGAACGGACGTATCTAGACGTATTTTAGTTCTAGATACATCCATTTTTATGCATTTCTTCGACAAGTATTTCTGGACGGAGGGAGTACATGGAAGAAAAGCAGCGGCTAGCTAGAGAACTTCTTTCTGTCTCTTTTCTTTTTGCCGCTGTAGTTTCTTTCCATCGTTACCATCATTGCCTACATTAACCTATATAGATAGAATAGAATAGAATAGAACTCCAAGATGGATGCAAGCAAGCAGAGGAAGCTGCGGTCCTTTTGGCCATGCCTCGGTGATGATAAATGTTTGTATTCCTCCTTGTCTTGTTCGAGGGAATCCCCATGATTTCATGGCAGCCTTCATTTAACACAGCAGGAAAGGAACGAACCCTGAATTCCCATTCAAAACGCCGCATCATTGTGGCGACGCGGCCGGCCGACTAGTCAGGTCGTCGTGCGCAATAATGTGCGTGCATGCAACTAGAGCCAGCCATTAATTGCAGCTCCATTAATTCGGTCTCTCTCGGCTCAAATGTGTTCGAACTATTGATTGAAGCTTGTGGTTTTTGTTGGCTTGTTGCCATAGCGGCAGCTGGGCTAGCTATAGGCTATAGCCAGGGTCGGCACTGCTCGCATGTGACCATGAATGAGTACTATGCTTGAAACTATAAACAGTAGAAGAAAAATGAATATATGTTGTGTGGGGCAGGGCTGTGGGTTTGTAAGTTTTGGAATCGTGCATAGGCAACAGCTGCATCCCTTTCCACATCAAATATTCCACGCATCAAAGTCCGGGGGTGGCTCCAAGAGCTACCGGACAAATGCGGCATCACGTGTCCCTTTCCCAGTGCGCGCGTCCACGAGAAAGAGAGATGTTGGGGCTGCTATACCTGCTAGCTGCTCTGCTACGTGCACGCACTGTTGCTCACTAGCTCTCTCTCTCTCTCTCTCTCTCTGCGCGTGTGTATAGGTGTGGACCGCGCGCGCGTGGCGGTAGAGCACGTACGTACCGTACGTATAGTTTTGTTGAAGGGATCGAGATCATGCGGAGTCGCAGGTGCTGCTGAGATGATATTCGAGTCGAGGACGGGGCCTCGATCGCGTCATGTTGCTTTGTGTTGTCAACGAGGCCGGACAGGGTACGGGTAGGGTGTGCGTGCATGCTGCCGGACATGTTCACGCGGTGCAGGCGTAGCATGCGATACGTACCAGTCGTTTCCCATTTGGCTTTCACACCCTAGGGCCTAGGCCCAGTGGGAGATGGCTAGTGGCTCGTGGCTGCGGGTTTTGCCGTTCGCCATACGATGGAAGGCCAAAACCCGGTTGGGGCGCCGGCATCCGTCGTGGCTAGGTGGTGCTCGGGTCACCTCCGCCTCCGCATGCTTTTTTCTTCTTATATATGGGGTCGCGTGGTGACCTCGATCGTTTGGTCTGGACGTGTAAACAGAAGAACAAGGACGGGAAAAGTGTCTTTGCGGCCATCACGAGGCCTTGTCCCGCGGGGTCGGCCGGGCTCCCCACCAGCGTACACTACACACACGCTATAGCCTTAGGCCAACTCCACCGCGCTACCCCATCCGGACGTCCGCGTGCGTCCGTCTGGGGAGCGATTGGGCGGACGTCCGGGGGCGGACAGGCGGATGGGGTAGCTGCGTCCAGCACGCACAAGCCTCTGAGACCCAAATGGTCCGCCCCGGCTCGTCGCTGCCTCGTCGTGCCGCCCCGCCTCGCCGTTGCCTCGCCTCGCCGTGCCGCCCCGTCCGCCGCCTCGCCATGCCACCCCGCCTCGCCGTGCCGTCCTCCTCCGGGCGCGGCTGCGAGGGCGCCGGCGAGTGCGGAACCGGGCCGTGCCGCCCCGGCTCGTCACCACCTCGCCGTGC